GCTCAGATGGGACTACTCATTCAACTGCCTTCCTAGAAGTCTTTCCTGATTGGCTGTTTCTTGGAGCCTTACCACATCTACATTCCCCCGCAAACTGTGCTGTGATTGTCTCAAGAAAGAGGTCTTGTTTGACTAGAGTGGGAACATCAACATGAAAGGCAGGGCAAAACTTATTTAAGTACTTGCTCCTTACCTTGGCTAGTTATGGGGTAAAGTCTCTGCCACTTTTCCTATATAGAGCCCTCTCTATGTCCCTCTATTCTCACCTTTTGCTGACATGATCATCCAAAACTGCTGCCCAACCCTTTATCCTGTGAACTTTCTGGGTTTTCTCCTTTGGCTTCATTCTCTTGTTCCTTAAACCTGTGTGCTTTCCAAGTTCCTCTCCTTGGCCTTATTCTGTTTTTTCCCCATTTACATTTGCTTCCTAGATGATTTCATCTATCTTTAGTTATCATCTTTATTCAAATAACTCCCAAACATTTATCTCCTGGTCAAATCTTGTCTCAGAGTTTTAATTCCATCTTTCTAGCTGCTTGTTGAATATTTCCAACCACATGTTCACTGGTGCCTCAAATTCAACACATCCAAATAAAAAATTAATATTGCCACTGACTACATCTGCCCCTTTCCTTGACTTTCATGGTGTCCTCCCCCTTCCCTCTGCCATATCTACATTATTAACCACAGGGTTTGACTCTTTGACTCTTCTCTTTCCCTCACCCTATAATCCAATAAATTACCAAATTTTGTTGATTTTACCTTTGCAAGAGCTATGAAACCCTTTCCTTCTTTTCCACTCTTGGTATAAGCTTCCTAGCTCAGTTTCTAATTTCTTCTCAACCAGAATATTGTAATAACCTCCTATTGATATTCCTATCTCCAATCTCTTTCTCTTTCCCTAATTATTCACTTATAATACTTTCTAAGACAATTTCCTAAGTCGTTGCTCTGGTCATGTCACTTCTGTACTTACTAACTTTCTGTGGCTCTTATTGCCTTCCAAATAAAGTCATAAACTCCAAATTACTAAGATTCCAGTCTCTCCAAAGTTAAGATCCGACCTATCTTTCCAGGCTGTATTGTATACTTCTTCATTTCATATTCCAGCCCAATTTGGTTTACTCTCTATTCTTTTTTTTTTCTGCCCTGTCCGTTCTCCATGCTTTTGCTCATGATGTTTCCCAGGATGGGAATGCACTCTTCTTATCACTATCTCCACCTGTTAAGTCTCTCCATTCAATTTAGTTGAGGTGCCAACTCCTTCATGGTGACTTCCCTAACCTCTCCCCAACATACTGAAAGGTACCTTTCTATTGACTGATTTATCATAGTATTTTGCCTGAATCTCTGCATTTTCCTTATCTGTTCTCATGCTTTCTTGTATACTAGTTATTTATGCATGTGTTGATACCCCCCTTATTACGTTATGTGATTCTTGAAAGCAGGGTCTGTGGCACATATCTGTTTGTAACCTCATGTTCAAATAGGGGCAACAAGGTGGTACATTATACATAGTGAGCAGGACTTAGAGTAAAGAAGACCTGAGTTTGAATTCTGCCTCAGATACTAGCTGTGTGACCCTTGGCAAGTCATTTAACTTCTCTTCACCTCAGTTTCCTGACCTGTAAAATGGGGATAATAACAGTTATAGAATTTATATGAGGATCAAATGGGATATTTGTATTGTTTATAGTGCTTTACAAATCTTAACATACTATGTAAATACTAGCTATTATTATTATTAGAATCATCAAATCATAGAGTATTTATGATTTTGAAAGCATGGGAAACTCCCAGTGTGGAATGTCTGTTCATCATTATAGATTGCAACATGCCAATGATTTAGTAGAAAAGACCTAGAGAATTTCATTGTGACCTGCCATATAACTAGGAAGTGTCACAGGTGGGATTGGAATCTATTTCTTCCCAACTCCTAGCCCTGCACTCTAACTATAGTGTCATGCTGCCTCTTTGCACGTTATAAATACTTGGAAAATATTTAGTGAATTGGATTGTCCAAAGGCATGTGATTGAGATGACTAGGGTATTGAGGACCATATGTTGTTCTTTTTTAGATAAAGGAACTAGGAGTTTTCAACCTGGAGAAGAGAAGATTTAACGGGGGTGGGGGCAGTGCATCCTAGTTGTCTTCTATTATTTTTAGAATGAAGTATGGAAGAGGGTCAGACCTGTTGTGTTTGACATCAAAGGGCAGAACTAGCAGAAATGAGTGGAGGATCAAGAATGGGAGACTGAGGCCAACATAAGAACAGTTCCTATCAATTAGAGCTCTCCCAAAATGGCATAAACATGAAAATGAGTGAATTTCTCATTCCTGTCTTCAAGTGGATTATTGTCTAAAAGATTCCTGCACAGATAATTTCTAAATACCTTATGACTCTAAAATGATGTGACTTCACATAAGGACTTTTGGGTCTTTTTCATGGGGGCATTATCTGTCCTGTAGCTTTCTTGGACCTTAAGATCCTAGCTAAGATTCTAGCAGGTGATCAGAACGTCCTGAGAAGTCAGATTGGTAAAGGATTTTCCAGGTCCTTGGAATAGGTTGGGGAACAAGTCTTAGAGAGAAAAGTGGTGATCCTGGAACTACTTCATTAAGAACAATTCATGACACACTAGTCAAATTTTCCCTTTTTCAACAGTTATTAGCCTGAGGGCTATTTGGAAGTAATAATAATAGCTAGCATTTTTATAACATCTACTGTGTGCCAGGCACTGTGCTAAGCACTTTACAAATATTATCTCATGACAACCCTGAGAGGTAGGTGCTATTATTATCGCCATTTTACAGTTGAAGAAACTGAGGTAGACAGAGATTAAATGACTTGACCAGGGTCACACATCTAGTAAGAGTCTGAGTTGAATTTGAACTCAGGTCTTCCTGACTCCTAGCTGTAGAATGGTCTATAGCAGATGCCTTTTCATGTTGGAAGGTCGCATTAATATTTAGCTGTAATCAAATAAAATAAAAATATAAAAGATGAACAAAATTGTATTAATAAAAATGAAAGGATTTGTTCCATAAAATTTGAATTCAGTCAAAAAGCTACACTTATGGACCTAGAAGGCCACATGTGGCCTTAAGGCCACAGGTTCCCCACCCCTGGTCTGTAGTAACTTCCTCCATTATCTCACCACTCCTCAATCCCCTGCAATCTATTTCCTTCTTTATCATTTTACTGAAACAACTGTCTGTGAGGTTAGTAATGACTTCTTTACTGCTAAATCCGATTGCTTTTTTTTTCATTGTCACCCTCTTTGAACTTTCTGCATCCTTTGACACTGTGGTCAACCCTTACCTTCTTGACCCTGCACTGGGTTGTGTGGCACTTTACTTTCATGGTTTTGTTGATTGTGGTAAAGTAGAAAGGGGACTGGATTTGGAGTTAGGGGACCCGTGTTGGAATCCTAGACCTGCTATTACTAGTGTAACCCTGGGTAAGTTGCTGCTCTCTGGTCATCTTCATTCTATACTTTCTTGTTTCAGCCTCTCCTTCCCAACTGTCCCTCCAGCTCGTACCCTGAGTTCTAGGCATCTTTTTGATATACCACCTCACACATCTCCTCTCCTCCCTCCTACCTCCTTCACCTTTACCTCTGGGTAAATAATCAAATCAATACTTCCACTCAAGGAAAAGATGAGGCAATCAACTCCCTTATGACTCCATTTACCATCCCTGTGACTTCCCAGACCAAAAAAACTCCTCCTCCTTCCTGCCCACTATTGCCCTATATTTATTGGCTTCCCCTTTGTTAGAATGTAGGCTCCTTGAGGGTAGGGACTGCCTTGATTTAAACAGTGCTTTTATTATTTTGTATTTTTGTATTTCTGGAGCATCACAGTGGTTGGCACAGAGTAAGCACTTAATAAATGTTTTTTTCATCCTTTTGTTCATTTACTTACCTCTGTGGGCCTTAATTTCCTCATTTACAAAATGAGGTGCTCTGAGAAAGGGATCTTAGGGATCATTTTTAAGGTTCCTTACAACTTTTGTCTTGTCACTGAACGGCAGTGACTCTGGAAAAGAGAGTGAGGCTACTGACTGTCTCACTTAAAACCAATCCAAGTCAAGGTATGAACCTTGTGATGTCACTGGCCCTCTTTGAAAAGGAAGGATGAACAATGTATCTCATGACAGTATAACAAATCTATTATGCGCTTCCTGCCATCCTTTTTGTTCCTCCTCTGATTCAACAAACTCCCAGTGAGAAAAAAAGCAAAACAAAACATGAATTTTCTGTGGATTTCAGATTTGGCAATCTTGTCTCTTCCTGTATTTGAAGCTGGCAGACTCTGGCCCTCTCAGAGGAAGCTACTCCTATCACTTTGCTCCTTGTTCTGTTCCCCTTGTTCTGTTCCACATCCTTATTGCATGGCCAATGCTCTGCCAACATCAACCTGTGTCCCAGGTAGATTTGCCTTTAGTATTAATCCACAACTATGTGGGCCAAGCCTGCAGATACACTGAGCCTCTTTAGGTAAAATCTCTGGTTACTTTCATAGTCCTGGTCATAAAGGAAGGTTTTGAGGTATCAGCCTAGGAAATTAATGCTATTAGTTTGTAGATAAAAATAAAAAAAAGATTTTGTTATTTGTTGTTGGAATTTTTAGATCATTTTCACCCACTATTTCCTATACCTGTAATGCTTTCCCTTCTCATTTCTGGCTTCCCTTGGCTTCTTTGGAATCTCAACTAAAATCCTACCTTCTTAAGATGCCTTTCCTCATTCCCCTTCATGCAAGTAAGTGCCTTTCCTCTGATTATCTGTAACTCATCTTGTATATATTTTGTTTGTTCTTGGTTATTTGCATATTTTCTCTCCTTTAGATTTGAGCTCTTTGAAGGCCAGAGATTATTTTTGGCCTTTCTATATATCTTTATCTCTTGGCACAGTGTCCGGTACGTAATAGATGCTTAATAAATGATTGTTGCTTTGACTTGATCAATTCAATTAAGTGCACATTTTTTGACTGCTTACTATATAGAGAGTTTATTACTAAGCCACTGAGTGGATTACAAAGATAGATAAGCCCCATTGAAATCAGGCAACTTTTACTTTTTTTTCACAGAGGTCTATACATGAACTATATTCTGATGTTCCCAAGGGATCCCCTGGATTGGGCAAAAATCAATTAAATTCTGATAGACCCAGGGGAAATCTGTATGGGACATGGTACAGACAATTATTGAGAGTAGAAGACTGAATCCATTTCAATCTATTTCTAGGCCATAAAAGTCTGTGTTCTAAGGTCCCCTATAGCATCATCATTTCATATTCTTAGGGTCCTTTTAGCTCTAAATTGCTAAGGTCTAAATTCTCTTAGAGCTTTTATATCCCATGTTTATAATTGTAGTTGTCTTCCCACTTGCCTTAATGATTTGTAGACATCCCTATGAATCATTAAAATTAATTGGTATGGAGTATATTGAGAATCTGCACTGAGAGTACAGGTGCCAGCAGGATGCTGCCGCTTTATTCTGCAGTAGAGGAGCGAACAATGAGATCTTGGGGGCTGAGACTGCTGAAGTTAATTTCCAGAAGGATTCACAACTTTCCCCAAGAAAAGTGTGCTCTTTGTTTTTGTTTCATAAACGGCAATTATAAAAGGCCTGTTGAAGTCAACGGTAGGGGGAATGGACATAGGTATCGCTTCCAAGAAAGTGGCCCCTGAAGCCTCAGTTCCTTTCTCATCGATGTTCAAAACAGCCTTGTGCAGAGCCTAGAAGAAAAAGGAGCAGCACAGCTCAGGGACAAAGGAAAGAGTGGTAGGAATTCCCAGACATCATCACATCCCCAGTTCTTAGGGAAGACCTAGAAAGGACATTAATTTGATAGGGTGGGGGCTGGATAGTAAGTTGTTTTGAAAAAACACAAAATATCTTGTTGTTGAAATTTACCTGATTAATTCAATTCAACACATGTTTCTTGACTGCATGACCCAATGCTGGGCCATTAAGGAGGATTCAAGATGAATAAAACATAGTCCTCGCCTCAGAGAAATTATAATCTAGATGGCTAGAATATCAGGTAGAGGATGATAAGAGGAAGTACCAGCAAAGGGCTATGAGATTTCACAGTTAGGGACATTTAATTCTGGCTGGCTAGATCAGAGAAAATTTCATAGAGAAGATTTATTGTTTATTTATTGTTTGTCTATCCATAAGTCTGATAAGTAATATGTTCCATGTTCTTCTAATTTTCTTGTAATCTTTCTCTTTATATCTAAGTCATGTATTCATTTTGACCTCATCTTGATAAAAAGTATAAGATATTGGTCTATGCCCAATTTCTGCCTGACTACTTTCCAGTTTTCCCAACAAATTTTTATGAAATAGTGAATTCTTATCCCAAATTCCTAAGTCTTTATCCTTCTCATATACAAAGTTATTATATTTATTTGCTTCAAGAAGTTGACAGATGAGTTGGCCAACACTCCCCCCTCAATCCCCCACAATGATTGAGTCATAGACACTGCCCCTAAAATGCCAAAATAGCCAGTTCAATTTGGTCAGTTCAGTTAAATAATCTTTTGATTCATTTCTCTATTCAAACTAATGATGGCACCTTACATCTCTGAACCTCAGTTTCTCATCTGTAAAATAGGGAAAATAGTCCTTACCCTGCCTAGCTTCTAGGATTATTATAAAAGAAATGCTTTTCAATCTTAGAGCAAAATGCAAATGTGAATTCTTCTTGCTGTTATCACACTAGTAACATTTGAGAGAATTTAAAACAAAGACAATACTTAGCATTCTCAGACTTACCTGGGAAAGCTTAAGCTTTTCTTGCTTTGTGATTCCAGAGAGATCTGCGCTGTTTTCAAATACATCTGTAATGCCCAGATCTTTTAGAACCTTCAGATCGTAGCTTCCTGAGATGGAAACTTTTGGAAGATATAAAGTAATTGCCCTATTGATAAAGGAAGATAAAAGAGAAAATAATCACTGTTTAAAATAAATAAAATTATGTATGATAAACATATATAAATATAAATAAATTAAATAATAAATAATAAAATAAAATGTTGAAACGAGATTACATAAGAATGTTTCAGTATTGTTTCTTTTTAAAATAAATATTTATTGGTAGTTTCTGTTTTTTATATTACAGTTCCCAATATGGTTCTCCCTCTTACCCTCCCAGGGAACCATCTCCATAATGAAGAATAAAAAAGAGAGATAAAAAGAGTCCGATAAAACCAGCCAACACATCAAAAAAGACTGAAATTATTTGTAGTGTTTCACACCCATCATCCTTGGCCTCTGCAAAGAAGAGGGGGAGGTACCTACTTCTCATATCTTTTCTTCGAGGGCCATTATAATTCATACCATTCAGTTCAAAATGTTTTGTTTTTCATTTTTCTATTTACATTATTGTAATTCTTGTGTATAGTATCCTGATTCTACTTGCCTCACTTTACATCAGTTCATACAAGTCCTCTCATGGTCCTTTATATCATCATATTCATCACTTATTGCCCAGAAGGAGAATTATCTCTTAATTTATATATCCTTTCTGGCTATGACAGTAATCTCCCCCTTGGGCCCTCGAAAACTGAGTTATCCAACTTCAGCTTAAATACTTTTAGTACCAGAGAAATCACTCTCTCTGGGCCTCTGGTTCTTCATGTGAAAAATGAAGGGATTTTAAATTGTATGAATCATATTTCTCTTAACTCCCCCCCAGCCCTGTTGAATGTAATCTCCTTTAAAGCAGGAGCTTTTTCTTTTCTTTTTCCTCTCTTTTCTTCCCAGTGCCTAGCTCAGTGACTTGCATATAGTGAGGGTTAACAAAAGCTCTTTCAACTGAGTTGAATGGATGATCTCTGAGGTGTACTTTAGTTCAATATCCCATGACATCATGAGGAAGTCTGGTCTTTGTTTAGGCATCTCAAACGTTTTCATCTTCTACATGAAACTTTTCCTGATACCCCTTAATTCTAGCACATTCTTTCTATTGATTAACTCTAATTTATCTTATCTATATCTTGCTGGTAGATAGCTGTTTTCATGTTTTCTCCACCATTAGAATGTAAGTTTTTGAGGACAGCTGTCTTTCCTTTTGTTTGTATTTGTATTCCTAGCTTTTAGCACAGAGCCTGGCACACAGTAGGTACTTAAGAAATGCTTATTGACCAACTGTCTTATTGACTAACTGTTCTTTCTTATAGTTGAGTGAAATTTGCATCTGTACAACATCTTCCACTCACTGGTCCTCATTCTGTCCTCTGGGGCCAAGCAGAATCAGTCTCAAGTCTCTTTCACATGGCAGTCCTTTAAGGATCTGAAGATAGTGATGAAGCCCTCCAGAAGGCTTTTCTTCTTCCTAACTAAACATTCTGAATCCCTTTTAATCAATTGTAAAGTGTAGTATTTTTTTTTTTAAGTAGCCTCATCATCCTTGCTGCCCTCTTCAGTGACCTTTCTAAAACATGGGACCCAGGATGAATTAAGCATTCCAGATGTAGTCCAAGCAGATCATATGACAGAGGAGCTATCCTTTCCCTCCTTTGGGAACTCTGCTAAATAATTCTAATACCATCTGGATGCAAATCATGAAAGACAACATTCTCTAAAGAATCCAAATTTCTGGTCACCCCTTAGGCAATGAAGAGACACATGGAGAGGCTACAGCAAAAAAAGTTACTCAATTGTTTATACCTTTTTACTCAGAGAAAGCACTACTGAGACCACATTCTGAGGAGGTTTTGATGACAAAAAGACCCATATGTATAAAAATGTTTGTGGTGACATTTTTCATAACAAAAGCTGGAAGCCCAGCGATTGGGGGATTGATTTATAAATTATGGTATGAAGAATGACAAACATGAAGAATTCAGAAAAAAAGATGGGAAGACTTTTGTGAGTTTATGCAGAGCAGAGAAAGCAGAGACAAAGAACAATATGTAGTTCTATAGTAATATAAATAAAGGGCAGTTAGGTGGAACTCAGTGGATAGAGATCTGGACTTGGAATCAGGATAGACTTGAATTTAAATCCTGCCTTAGACACTTACTAGCTATATGACCTTGGGCAAATCACTTAACTCTGTTTGCCTCAGTTTCCTCATCTGTAAAGTGAGCTGGAGAAGAAAATGGCAAACCACTCTAGTATCTCTGCCAAGCAAAGCCCAAATGGGGTCACAGATGGTCAGACATGACTGAAACGATTCAACAACCCAAAAATACAAAAAGCCAACATATAAGGCAGCAAAACTACAGTCAAATATGATGGTAGATATTAGTACCATACTGTCCAAGTTAAAGGACACATCCCTGTTTTCTAGTTACAATTTATAAACTAACATTTTACCACCAGGAAATGTGCTTTGTAGGATGATTTCTTTGTTAGAAAGTGTTACTTGTAGCAGAGGCAGTTAGGGGCGCAGCTAATAGAGTGCTGGGCTTGGAGTCAAGAAAACCTTAGTTCAGATCTGGACTCACACTTACCGACTGTATTGATGAGGTTTCATTCAGTTTCAGAAGTCAAGACCTTTGCCCCTTTTCCCTTTGCCCCTTTTCACCAAAAGGAATTTGGCTTCTATTTGTTGAAAACCCTATCTCCCTTCCAAAGCCTTAGCCTAGCCTTTTGATATGCACCTTTCCTCCCTAGCCCTAAAGAGAACCTTGCTCCTGTCTGTCTACTGCCTTTATTTCCCTTTGAAAGCTCTCTTTATCTCCCTTTGAAAGCAAACTTCTACCTTCCAGTTGCCTTCATTACCTATTCCCATTGTCTGTTTAATCTCTCAGACCTTCCAAATGGAATTCTCACCTAGACCCATTTTCAACCACCCCCTCCCTTCTGGCCACCCAAAATTACTTTAGTGTCAACTGGCCTTTCATTGTGGCTATACCCAATCTCCCCTCCATTGTTTTACCTCCCTATGGCCCCCAGCCATTTCCCACCCTTAATCCTAGCTCAGCTCCACAAAGTCCAGGACCCAGGAGTTCTGTTCACCCCAGCTTACTAGCCACTGCCATCCAGACCTCCTTAGGCCCTTCCTCCCGTCACCCCAAACTACTTGGCCACTCCTAGATCCCTCCCACAGTCTTTCTGTATATTAAGTCCATCTTGTCTCTATTAAGATGCTGAGTTTTTTTCATGCCCAAAAGGCTGAGACTGTCCCATGCCCGCTTGTCCTTCCGGGTGTCACCTGGCCTAAGATCCACCCTAGCCCCATTCAGATGCTGAGAATCTCTCATGCCTAGAGGCTGAGGTTTTCTCATGCCCACTCGTCCTTATGAGAGTTACTGATGTTTGGGTTCCTTGGGAGTCTGGCCTATATGCTTTATCTTTAATAAACTATTTTTCTGGCTGAAAGAAGATTTGGGTTGAATTCTTTCAGGCAAGCCTGCGTCGTGATCTTGGGATGCCTCTGTGCATCTAGGAGCACCCCAAAACCTCTATACCTCTTCAGTATGACCCTGGGTGAATCACTTCTAATAATAGCATCTGCCTCGCAGGGTTGTTTTGGGGATCAAATGAGATAATAATTATAAAGCATTTAGCATACTGCCTGGCATATACTAAATCCAATATAAATGCTAGTTATTATTATTACTATTAGCTATGTGATTCTGGGCAAGTCATTTAACTGCCATCTACCTTAGTTTCCTCATCTGTAAAACAGGGTTAATAATAGCACCTACCTTCCAGTTTTGTTGTGAGGATAAAATGAGATTTCTAAAACACTTTGCAAAACATGAAGAACTACTATTGTTGTCTTGTAAGGATTCATTAAAACCTGGTCATAACGTGAAGGTTCACTGGCATAGGAACAATTGCTTCATAGAAAAGATAGTCTACCTTTTTAACTATAGGTACCATTACTACAGCATATTCCATAACAAAATATGTACACAATGCACACATACACACACACACATGCATACATACACATACATATATACATATATGCCTCTTCTAAGTGCAAGGCACTGGGATACAAAGTCAAAAATGAAATACCTTTTGCCCTTAAGGAAGGACCATTTCTATCCAGGGGATACAGATCACTTAATACAAAGTAATACAATGGGGGAGGGGAGTGGGATTCAACAAAGCCTTTGCATAGGAGGAGTCACAGAAGCTTTGCTTCTATAATGGGCAGGACCCAGATAGGAGGAATGAGTGTGTTCAGCATTCAGCCTTTACAAAGACTCAGAGCTGGAGATGGCATGTTACATTCAGGAAAGAGGGAATAGTCCAATTTGGCTGAAATGGAGAGTGCATGAAGGGGAATAATTTAAAGGAAGTCTTGAAAAATGGAGGGGCACGAGATTTTAAGGGGATTTAAATATCTGGATGAAGAGTTTATGCTTTACCTACAGAGACAATAATAAGACACCATTGATGATTTTTGAATTAGACAGTGATGTGGTCAGATCTGTGTTTTAGATGTATTAATTTGGAAACTGTGTGGAGGATAGATTGGAGGTGGGGCTGGAAGAATTTGAAACAGGGAAGTTAAACTACTTAGGAGGAAATTGTCTCAGTCCAGGTGAGAGTCAGTGTAAACCTAGATTAGAGTCATGGCTCTGTCAGTGGAGAAAAGCGAATGGGTGCAAGAGAGGATGTGATAGCAGAATTAGAAATCAGTAAGATCTGGCAATTGATTGGGGGGATATGGAGGGAGAGGGAAGGGCCCAGGATGAATTTCAGGTTGGAAACCTGGGTGACTGGAAGGATGATGGTGACCTCAATAGATATAGGAGAGTTTGAGAGGAGTGGATTAAAGGAGGAAGACAATGAGTTCCATTTTAGATAGTTCACCATAATAATAAGATATTCAGGTGACAATGCCCAGCAAGCAGCTAGTGATGTGGGACTGTGAGGATGAAAGGGTCAAATTAAGGTTTTTTGTTTTTTAACGTTTGGGGAAAAATGGTCATGTTTGCCAAGAGAAGAGAAAGAGCTGGTAGATAATAAGGAAAGGTTGAATATGAGAAAGAAGTAATGATTGAAAGATTAAAGAGACAACCTTCGGGTAGGAGGAGATGTGATTGAGGGCAGAAGTGTAGGGGTTAGCTTTGGCAAAGAGAAGAACTGCCTGTTCTTCAGAGACTGGAGCAAGGAATGAGAGAATGGGGTGTGATTTAGAGGGATTTTAGAGAATTGGAATAAGGGATAAGAGGGAATTCACGGCACATGTTTAGTTTCTTAGTTTCTCCATAAAGTAGGAGGCAAAGTCCTTTTTTCAAAGAAAGTAGAGGTAGTACATGTGGGATGTGGAGACAAGAGGAGGTCTGGAATAGTCTCTGTGGAGAGTGTGATAGTCAAGCATGGAAGAATAAAAGAATTACCATGGCCCCAGTCCCATAACGAAAATTTGTAATGAACCCAGCCAGCCCACCTGTGTGATTTTCTTAGTAGCACTCAAATAGAAGTGGAGGGCATAGATAAAGACAGTGACCCAGGGCTGGGAGTTGTCCAGATTTTTCTTGCAAGCAACAAAGGGTTAAGAAATTCAAGGATAGAGGAGAGTGTACCATCCAATTGTCAACCACAGGGGTCAAGAGTTTGAAGGGAGTAAAATGAAGCAAGAACAATAGCAATAGATTGGGAGAATGGGGAGGAGTAGAGGTACTAGGGGCAGCTAGGTGGTAAAGTGGATAGAGTGCTGGGCCTGGAGTCAGGAAGTTCTGAGTTAAAATCCAGTCTCAGACACTAACTAGCTGTGCGACCCTGGGCACGTCACTTAACCCTGTTTGCCTCAGTTTCTTCATCTGTAAAATGAACTGGAGAAGGAAATGGCAAACCACTCTAACCTCCAAAAGGGGTTATGAAGAGTTGGAAATGACTGAAAAAATAATTAAACAACAGAAGTACTAGAAGTGACAGTAAGGATGAAGAAGAGGTTTAGAATGAGTGAAGTAAGGAAGAGATTGAAGGCTATGATCAGAGGGAGAATTTCAGGTTTCTGGATGATGGAGATAGTTCAGTTATGGCTGACGAGGAGTTTAAACATTTAACATAAATTCCATACACAAATAAGCCCCGAGTAAAATTTTTAGCAAATTTAGGAAATTTCCCTGATATTTCTAGTGGAATACATATTAACACACACTGCATCAAATTAAATTGCAAATAAAACTTCTTACCTTATTTCTCCCTCCTAAAAATGCTGAAGTATAAGAAATCAGGTAAACAAATTCCATAATTTTCTCATAATTGAGAAGTGATCAACAAAGCAGATTTATTAAACTTTTTTTTTTTTTATCATCAGAGATGGATGAACAGAGTAGAAGGTAGCCTAGAAGATAGTCCCTTGTGTTCAGTAAAAGATGGATAGCCTGTGGTAGCTGTGGATAGGATATTGGTAGCTATCGGTAATGTTGAGACCTACAGGAATGGTTCCACTATGTTGGGTGGATCCCCTGGGGAGAATTTATGGGAGGACATGGACAAGATTATAAGGCTTAGATGAGCTATCTGAACTTTTGAGGGGAGTACCCACATCCTGTAGGATCACAGACCCATGCAAATATGAACATTGAATTGTTATTATTATTAATTATTATTGTCACATCCTTATCATTACCTTGATACTGTCCAGTTTAAGACTTAACAAATAATTTGCTGATAGCACAGAATCAGAGACTTACCTGCGATGCAAGTTTCTTGACCATTTCTGAAACTGCTCTTTGTTCAAGGCATTCTCCACCTGTTCTAGCTTCCCTATGTCTGGCAGTATAAAAAAGGCACTTGCATTTCCCAGATAGTCCAACGTCACAACCCAGCAGGCCAGGTCATTGTCATGAGTCACATGGAACATGCCTAGGCGGCTCATTGTTTGAACAGGCACAGTTGTTTCAGCATTCACATGGAAGGGACGTTCCTCAGTGAGCTCTGCTTCAAAGGGTTTCTCCCATTTGCCTAACAAGAGAATGTGTATAAGGTAGTGAATTTGTGTGGGTGGCAAAGATAGAAAAATCAGTGGCAGGAAAATTAGGTACTCCTATTACTTTAGTAATAGGTAGCTATTGTTTAGGGGCAGCTAGGTAGTGCAGGGGATAGAGTGCTGGACCTGGAGTCAGGAAGGTTCATCATCATGAATTCAAATCTGGCCTTAGGCACTTAACTTACTAGCTGTGTGACCCTGGTCAAGTCACTTAACTCTGTTTGCCTCAGTTTCCTCATTTGCAAAGTGAGCTGGAGAAGGAAATGGCAAGCCATTTCAGTTCTTTGCCAAGAAAACCCCCCATGGGGTCATAAAGAGTTGGACATAACTGGAAAAACAACTGAAATTACCTTAGTATTTCCCATGACCTTTCACTGGAAATAGAGAGAGGGAAAAATATAAAGGAAAATTTGGTCATAGAGGTAGAAGACTTGAGATCTGCCAAGACTCTGCCAAGAAATAACCATATGGCCATAGGCAAAGCACTTTACCTCTTTGATGCTCAGGTTGGTTGCATCTGTAATATAGTGGTAATAATACCTGTATTACCTACCTCACAGAACTTTGGAGAGGAATTAGTAATTAGGGTAATGTACTTAAAATACATTGTAACTATTGTACATACCCACTGAGTTTAAGAGGTGGTGCATTTTTCTGCCCAGTGGCCACACCAAGCAAAGGTAGAACATTAGAACCAGAAAGGACTTTGGAAATCATCTATTTCAACTATTTCATTTTATAGATCAGAATCTGAAATCTAGAGATGGACAGTGGCTTGCACACTGTTAATTAAATGTCAGGGTGGACACTAGGACCCAGGAATCCAGCTGCCTTTTGCCTCCAGTGCAAGCTCAATAAAATTTCCAGTTTATCCAAATTCTCTTCAGGGATCAGTTGTTATTTAAGTCATTCCACAAACCTTCCAAGAATTGCTTAGAAATCCAAATGGGTTTTTATACTTTGTCACCACTTTCTATTTCTATCCTAAGCCTTGGAAGGAATGCAGAGAATTCAAAGACCTGAAGCATGGATGACCTTCAGATGACAGGCATGAGACCCACTCTTGATCAAAGGTTATTTCTATGAGACACTACATGTGGTCAATGCCTGGCAAATGGAGATATTGTAGTTTCTATTCATGTCAGGAGATGCCCAACATATGTAGGTCTATGGGAATCATAGACCTAGGAGGGGCCCTAGAATGTAAAGCATCATAGTAGTTCACATTTAGCTAAAGCTTACAAAGTGTTGGCCTCCTAGTAACTCTGTGAGCTGGTCAGTGCAAACACTGTCACTCCATAGACATCCTTGAGAACTCTATATCTCTGTACCACCCCTCCCCTCACCCCAGTTCCTCAGCTGTAAATTAAGCATCAGTGAAGTTAAGTGAGCTGCCTGCCCATAGTCAAACAGCATATAAGTGCCATGTGGCTTATCCACATATCTCAGTCCAGCATTCTTTCCAATATTCCACAGTGAATATTAGTGCTACAAAGGACATTAAAACAAAATATTACAACATAGATCATAGAATATTAGAGCTGGAAGAAACTTTAGAACATGGAAAGTTAGACCTGGAAGAGAGCTCAGAGATCTTCTAAATCCAGTTGTTTCTTTTTACAGATAAAATGGGAGCCCTGAGAACTTAAATGACTTGCCTAAGATCAAACAGTCAATTAGTGTCCTGCTCTATGATCATTTGAACATCTGTTGGGAGATGGTTGTGAGGATAAAACAGGATATTTCCTCCATCACCATTCCCTTTAAGAAAACTGTTACTGTGACACAGTTTAGAAAAATTACTTTTATTTCATTGGTATTGACTATCCACCTATTCAGTTTGGAACCCATACTGTCTCAGGGACTGATCTTACCTTTAAAGAAAATGCAATTTACCAGAACAAATTCTGCGCTAGAGTGAAGGTCCTGAATCAAATTTACTATTTTTCCTTGGGTCTCCTTCTCCACATAGTCATTGATCTGTTTCTTGGCAGCCTCATTGTCTTCAAAATCAATAGAGAAGGTATCAGAAGTGTAGAATTTCTTGCTGTCTTCCAAAAACTTCTCTACAACTTCCAGTTTTTTATCTATAAACAGGCCATTGCTTGTGGTCAGTTGAAGCTCATTTCCAGGTAGGTTGAGTGTATGGAGAAGCTGTTGGAAACCCTCAAAGATTTCTTTCTCTGAAATCTCAGTGAGGTTGAATCCCAGTCCCTGTAGGATCTGATCATGAGTGGCTGATTTGGCCCCAAGAGCCAGCAGGGTAAAGGCAGTGGAGATGCTCACTGGAGAGAAGAATATGTTGGTGGTGTTGGATTTAGAAACCAGCAGCCTGTACAAATCGAAGCTAAAATCAGCCATATAGGGGGAAATTCTGTGACTGGCAGAGAGTGGGTGTACACTGTCTTGACTGGCTTGGAGCTCCTCAGCTAGGTGGCTGGGGACCAGGCTGCATAGCCCAGTCAACATCAGGCAAAATTTCAGAGTGAACGTCATCATTCTAAGAGAGAACAAGGCCACACAGTTGGAATAACTGCATATAAACATCACTTAGATGCTCTTCTTCCTGTTTTCCCAATATACCTTCCTTAGACTTGCCTCTACACTTTTCCCTGGGGTGTTATTTAAATAGCTAGATCTATCTCCCTCCCACCCCCTCGCTAGGAATGCCCTACTGCTTCCTATTGACCAACCAAGCCATTTGTTGTTTCATTTGTGTCCAACTCTTCATGACCGCATTTGGGGTTTTCCTGGCAAAGATACTAGAGTGGTTTGCCATTTCCTTCTCCAGCTCATTTTACAGAAGAGGAACTGAAGCAAATAGGGGGGAGTGACTTGCCCCGGGTCACATAGCTAGTAAGTGTCTGAGGCCAGATTTGAATTCAGGAAGATGAGTCTTTTTGACTCCAGGCCTGGCTCTCTATACACTGTGCCACCTCGCTTCCCAGTTGAAATCATACTTCAATTCAATTCAATGTCACATTTTATTAAATTTATTAAAATAAAATATTTAAGTATTAAATAATTTATTAAAATAAAATAAAATAATGTGTTAATACTATAATGCAGGCCTTGTACTCAGCACTGGAAAAACATATGCAAAAAACCAAACCAAAACTAAAAATCTCTACTTATTCTTCAGGAGCTTTCAGTGGTAGGAAGATAAAGTAAATTGGATTAGATTAAAGAGAGAGATTAGAGAGCCATAATAGTTAAGAGATAAAGATAGACAGAGGCAATAGATAGATAAACATTGTATGAAACTCTGTGCTAAAGTAATGAAAATACACAAATTAATATGACAAACTTAGCACTATGCTTGGCCCATAGGAGGAAGTCAATAAATGTTTATTGATTGAATGATGCAAGGTAGAATGCAATAAAGAAAGAAATTCTCAGACAAATTGCTGTGACAAATTTGTGGAAAGATAACTTTTGTCTGGGATGGTGGGGAAATAGCACCTGAGCTAGACCTTAAAGTAAAAGAAGGATTTCGATAAGAAGAGATGTTGAAAGAATGGGTGTGTTCTAGGTTTGAAGGACAAGCTGTGTGAATGTATAGAGGCAAGAAAAGGAAGACAAGAAAAGGCAACAGTTTGGTCATAATAGAGAATAAGTTCTTTGAGTGTTGGAACTGTTTTACTTTTGTACTATATTTGATAGGATCATAGATTTATAGCCAGAAGGATTCTTAGAGGTCACTGAATTCAGTATCATTTTGCAAATAAGAAAATTGAGGCTGAGGTTAAGTCACTTGTTCAGTCACTCTAATAAGTGACTGAAGCAGGATTTGAACGCATGCGATTCTAACTGCAGTTTATCCTCTCCACTATCCCCAGCACTAAGCATAATGCCTGGCACATAATAGGTGCTAAATTGATACATGATTATTGATTGATTAATTGAACTTAGAGTAAGTAAAGGAGAATTGTGTGAATAAGGTTGGAAAAGTAGAATGAAACCTTTAATAGTCGGTTAAGGAGAAAGACAACTTTGGTGTGGTGGAAAGAGCCCCGTAATTAGAGCCTAAGGCTTGGCCTTCTAATCCTGGCTGGCTCTGATACTTACTATCAGACTTTGATTAGGTCTCTGTGTCTCTGAACAAATTACTTAACCTCTCTGGGCTTCAGTTTCCTCATTTGTAAATTGAGAAAGTTATAGTGAATGACCTCCCAGGCCCTTTACAATTCCAGTTTGCCTGAGTTTGTATTTCTATAGGTCACACAGAGTCTATATATATGGAAAAACTTTCTTATCCAAAAGAGGAATGGGCTGCCTTTGGAAGGAGTAGTTTCCTCTACTGGAGGCCTTGAAGCAGACTGGTTGATGACTTATCTGGTATATTATACTGGGGACTTGGGGTTGGCGAGGATTATGAATTGGATTCATTCCCCTGAAAACTCTTCTGATCCTAAAAGATGTAAATTCAGTGACTGAAATTGACCCTCTACCTGAAAGGTCTCTTTTTATCTCTGCCAGACCAAATCATGCTACCTTAGGTCCCACTCCATCCATGAAATATTTCTTGAGCTTTTGAAACTGTAATGGTGACCTTTCCTGTTTTGTTTACTTTATCTGAAAAGATAGATCAGGGCAATTCCATCTAATGGTATGTCATGAATATCTTGTTTCTACAACTTACTTGTCTCAAGGATAGAGGAAGGTAGTGGAAAGAATATTGGAACCAGGAGACCTGTGTTCTAGTCATGGGGGCTGCCGCTCCTTTCATAGAGAAAATGAGGAGGTTGAATCCCTTTCGTCTCTAAAGCTAACAGAACCAGAATCACAGAATCTTAGCTGTAGAAGGGACCTCAGAGCATGACACTAAGTGACAATTATTATTGTCCCCATTTTATAGACATAAGAACTGAGACTGAGAGAAGTTGATTCACCTGTGATTGCAGAAATAGTAAGTTTTTGAGGCAGGATTCTCTCTAAGATTTTTTGTAGAGAAGCTGGCAACCCACATTAGTGGAAGAGGTTTTCTCATCTGGGAGGTCCCTATGTTACTGAAATCACAATAATATAGATCTCTAATAATGCCATGGGCAGCTACATGGCTCGGTGGGTAGGACATGGCCTGGAATCAGGAAGACTATCTTCTTGAATTTAAATCTAACCTCAGACACTTATTAGCTGTGTGACCGTGGGCAAGTCACTGTTTGCCCCAGTTTCCCCATCTGTAAAATGAGTTGGAGAAGGCAATGACAAAATCCAGTATCTTTGGCAAGAAACCCCAAATGGGGTCATGAAGGGTCAGCCATGCCTGAAACAACTGAACAACAACCAACTTGCCTGCAGTACCTAACTCACAGGGCTGTTGTGAAGGTTGAGTGAGATAATCCGTGTATCATAGTTGGTGATTCATTGTTTCGTTTGAGTTTTTATAACAATGCTATAAGAGATATTGTGCCTCTTTTATTATTACCATTTGTAGGTAAGGAAACACTTCCTCAGAGAGGTCAAGTGAATGCTCCAAGGGCACATGGCAAATGCCAAAGCAAAAACTTGAACTATACCTTCTGACCACAAGCTCAGTGTTCCTTTTCTCATGTCAGACTGCTAAATGGAAGCAAGTTGTTCATAATAGTCTGTTATCTTTTTAAAAAGCTGCCTCAAGACCTTCTTGGCAAACACTAAAACCTAGTGTAATTAGCTGGTTGCCACATCTGCTAAGTATGATCACCCACAGATAACCATGGGCATGATCATTCATGCTGAGGGTCCATTAACATAGGCCCTCCTCTTCCCCCTTTCTTTGGGAAGTTCTAGTTTTCTTTCAAAGAACTGAAATTCAGCCACTATACTCCATCCCCCCAAGCTGGCTTGAGGACTCCCAGCCCACCAGCACTACTGCAGACCACACAGACTGAGGTTTTTACAGGGGAATACATTACTTACAGCTCCCTCTCCAGTGTCCTGCAGAAACTCACCAGGAAGCTGACCCAGAACCTCTTGTTTCCTGGGGTGTTATTTGAATACCTAAGTACTTATAGCAAGGGGTGGATGAGGCTCACCTTCCAGTGAATATTAACTAGCACAACTGGTTATTTGTACAGAGCAAACAATGACTAAGTCCGTTTGTCAAGGTGCAATCTTGTTCCTTTCTGTGCTCTCTCCTTTCTCTCACAGTGTCTGCTGGGGTGCAAGAGGTTTCTTTTTCTCATTACCTATGGGGAATCTTTGACATCAAGTTATATAGTTTCCTAAATTTCAGTTCTTTGGAGATGGGACCTTCCTAAAGTTCTAATATTTATATCTAAATCCACTTTTAAGTGAATGGACTGGAAGACTCATAGCCACTCTGGAAGAATTCCTACTTTTATTTTGCCTGTCCCTGGATCAAAAACTTCTAATTATTTCATTGCCTGTTGCAGAATGCCTAAGTAACATGTGACACTCAAAGCTTTTATAATCTGGCCCCTCTTTATGTAGATAAAGATATAGAGACACCTTTTCTTTCTTTTTTCTTTCTTTTTTTTTGATAGAACAATCATTTCTTCTTCCCATAGTTCTGTCACTAAAAAACCCACAAAAACCAAAACCTGGTTATATAAAAATAGTTAACAGAGTAATTAAGACTGACAGCACATTTAACATTAAGGTCTAATAATTCCTCATTTTTCACAGAAAGAAAGAACTTTTCTGTTCAAAATCAACCATTTAGAACTAACACTGGCCATTACGTTCACCCTGAATTCTGTTGTCTTTGCTTCTATCTTTATTCACCCCACTGTTGTCCAGCCTATCTCTTCTGCATAATCAAAGCAATTTTTCTCTCCTAAAAGGCAAGCTAGGGATATCACCTGGAGGTGGAGCAAAGAACGGGATTCCGACAGCAACACTCTGTACTAGGTGTGAGGAGAGGATGCTAAGTAACTATCTTTTAGGTCCTTGTTTCTCTGAGATGCAGCCACAGATCCTGAGATTGCTGAGCTGGGCTACTATATGGTCTTTACTGCTGGTAACCACCTGTCCAGGCTGGGTCCAAGTTCCTTATCAGAGATCTGACAATCTGTTTTTAGGCTGGGGAAGGGATCACAAGGTGTTTTAATTGTGTGTCACTTTAACAACTTTAACAGGATCTTGAGGTCTTCAAAACCTTGAAGAGCTGTCAGGTAGAAAAAAAAATAGATTTTTTTTCCTGACTACTTCTATGTAGCAATTGTGGGTGGTGATAGTGAGAAATTATGAGTGCAAATTTTTCTTGGATAAAAGAAAGAACTTCCTAGCAGCTAGAGTTGTTCCACAGTGAATAGCTTGACAGAACTGAGATCCAGAGAAATTTTGAAGGGGTAGAAGGATGTGTTATATCTAATGAAGAAATCTAATATAAAATCTTATACTTGGGTTTTTTAAACCAATTACACAAAGAGAAGACAAAGAAAGATATGGCTAAACATCAGTTCTTGTGGGGAAAATGGGGCATCTGGGTGGGTTGCAAGCAATACGAAAGCCCCAAACACCCGTGTGAATTTAGGCTACATTAATAGATGCTTAGTATCCAGAACACGAGTTGATATTTCTGTGTACTCTGCTCTGATCAAAATTCTGTAGTATTATCCTGGGCACCACATTTTAGGAAGCTAGTAGTTAAACTGGAAAACATCTAGTCAGTTGGTGAATCAGTAAATAAAAGCATTTATTAAGCTCTTCATATGGGCCAGGCACTGTGCTAAGTGCTGGGAATACAAAGAAAAGCAAGAGACAGTTGCTGCCCTCAAGGAGTTCACAATCTAATGACGAGACAATTTGTAAAGAACTATACACAAACACACTATGTACAGGATAATTTGGAGATAATCAATTGAGGAAAGGCATTGGATTTGGGGGGAATTGAGAAAGGCTTTCTGTAGAAGGTCAGATTTTAGCTGGGACTTGAAAGAAGGCAGTAAAACCAGGAAGTGGAGAGGAGGAAGAAAAGCAGGTTGATGAGAATCCAGGCCATAAGAGGAGGAACTGTCTTGTAGATGGCTTTAGAGAGAAGCAGAAATTAATTCAAACAGTTGTTTGACAGGCTCAGTGGCCATCAGAGGGCAGCAATCAGCACTGCAGTAGAAGAGATTCATCTCCATCTCTCTCCTTTCCCTCCTTCTCCCCCTCCATGTGATGAAAGCTTTGCCTTGCACCAGGATGGGGAAAGGAGCAGAGGGGTAAGAAAAACATATTAAACTTAAGGGCAAAGGCCTATCTTGTCAGATAATAGGTTGGGAAGCTGTTATAACTGGATTGATCCAAGGTAAACATTGACCATCAGGGAGAACTGAAATGAGAAGAAAGGTAGGGGTTGCGATCCTGAGGGGGAAAATCCAACAGAAGATAGAGGAACAGGCTAGAATTCATCAGTTAAAAGGTGATTAGACACAATCTGCTTTTGAAATCCTGCTTTCTACAAGAAGCCTTTTCCTAACTCATTTCTAGGTCTAGTGCTATTGATTGTCTCCAATTTATCCTGTATATATCTTGTTTGTACACAGTTGTTGCATGTTGTCTATCCCATTAGACTGTGAGCCCCTTGAGGGCAGGAACTATCTTTTGCTTTTCTTTATATCCCCAGTTCTTAGCACAGTGCCCTGGTGTATAGTAGGCACTAAATAAATTCTTATTGACCAATTGACTTTGCTTGTTCCAAAGGGTAGACCTAATAAAATGCAGTGGAAATTCAAGGGCTCAGTTTAAAAATGATTTTCCATTTTTTTTGGGAGGCAGATTCCTACCCTAAAGCTTCATTGTGGTATGAAAGAAACCTAGATTCTTGAAGGCTATGCTAACAGAACATAAGCAATGGTAGTTTCTAACATAATGAAAAGACTACAGGTATGGGTCCCACAGACTGGTGAATTCTTTGTCTGTGGTAACCCATGAAACAAAACAAGATACAAAATGGTCCTCAGTTCTCTGCATCCTCCTCTCCACCTTCTTTCATTGTTACAGTGGGGATAACTGAGTGTTTAATGGTAGAAAAGTGGACGAGGGCTACTAAGAACCACACTATTTTTGGAACATCTATAAACTTTAGCATGGCTGCTACTACTCTGAATGTCTAGATGCCTGTCATATGCAACAACCAATCAGGAGGAACTAAATCACATCAATCTCAACATTATTGCAACAAATGAAAATGGAAGAAGGAAGTGGCAGCTAAATGGAAGGATAATTCTCAGGGTTTCTTTGGAGAAGTAAACGAAGGAGTTGAGAGAGTTGATTTTATTGTATACCCAAAGGAAATAAGAGGTCTCATTTTGTGGGAACATTTGGTTGTCTCTTCTAAAAGGTCCGCCATGAAAATTATTGCAGTGAATATACCAACATCTAATGCAGAGGATGAAGAGGTAGAGAAAGTCTACAAAAAAACAAAAACAAAGACAAAAACTCTTTAAGAACTTCCAAATTAATACCAAAGTGTACTTTGATTAGAATCGCAGAATTAGATTCTTATAGTTGGAAAGACCTCAGGGACCATCTAATCTAACCCATATTTAACTGAGAATGCCATGTATAGCACCTTCTACAAGTAGTTATCCAGCCTTCCTTCCCCTTCCTCTTGGGAGGAAGCCAGTCTGCTCTTGGATGACTGTAGCTCATAGGAGATTTTTTCCTTATTTCAGGTCTAAATCTCTCTGACCGCCTCATTCTTCCCTCTGGAACCAACTTGAACACGTCTAATCTATCTTCCATATGCCGGCAAATGAATGAGTCAATAAACATTTATTAAGCACTGTCTACTTGCCAGGCACTGTGCTAAGTGCTAGGATGTAAAGAAAGTAAAAAAGATAGTCTCTACCCTCAAGGAGCTTACCTTCTAATGGAAAGAGACAACATATAAATAACTTGGTAGGTATAATGCACACACAAGAATAAATCAAACACACACACACACACACACACACAGACACAGACACAGACATACACACACACACACCAAAGAGTAGATAGAAGGCACTCTGAGACAGGAGGGAATTGGCATTGGGAACTGGGAAAGTCAGGGAAACTGATGGAGAAAGGTGATGGGGCAGAGCATTCCAGGTGTTGTGGACACATAGTACAAAGGCATAGGGTGGGAAATAGAGTATTTGAGGAATTTTAAGCAGACCAAGATTGCTGGATTGTAGAGTTTAAGGAGGAAAGTAAGGTGTACAAAGACTAGAAAGGTAAAAAGGGGCCAGATAATAAAAAAAACTTTAAATGCCAGAGAAGTTTTTATTTGATCCTGGAGCCACTAAAAAGTGTGTGTGTGTGTGTGTGTGTGTGTGTGTGTGTG